TAAAAATGTCATTGTTACCAGATAAGTGCTCCTCACTTAAATATGTTCAGATCTATAAGCTGGAGGTAGAAAATAAAATCTTCAAAGACTTGGCAATTTTATTGGAGTAATGTTTAACTAAATCTATAATAAAATGTGGAAGGATCAGCAAAATACAGCCATCCAAAGACACGGCAGGGAAAATGGGTCTGAACCACAGCAGAAATTACTTAAGTCCTTTATATGGGGAAACTGTTAGCTGATAGTAAGGGCTGTTAAACAATGAAATGGGTTACCAGGGCAAGCTCAGGAATCTCCTCATCTACAGGCCTTTAAAATAGTAAAATTTTCTTGGTCTGAATGGCTTTACGTGTGGTCTTCCTTGAAGCGGGGTGGGATTAGGGAGCTACAGAGGGAGGGATGACCCTCTAATTCCCTTCCCAAGGTCTGGGATTCTCCCTACCTGTCACCTGGAGGAAGGGGCTCAGCCATTCGATAACCTGCCCCCTCTCTCCTAGTTCTTGCCTACCTTAGTAATGCACTCATTCACAACTGCTGTAGAAATGATTGAAATATTTAGACATAATGGAGGAAGTTTAATAGGGTCTGGTGGGAAACCCAGGTGTTTAGATCAGCTTAAAAATAATAACCACCTCCCCTGCCGGGGGCTTTCTATTCACAATCAGCTCTGCTTTTATTCTTAACCATAAAGGCTACCTCAGACAGGAAATTATTCACGTGATTGGTCTTTACAAGTGCTGTTGGGTTTAAACTGAGGGCTGTAGAGGTCATTAGTGGACAGCCATGTGATTAACCTTTGCTAGCCCGTTGCTTTTCACACTTTGTTAACAGCTTCCATTATTGCCCCTCTGAGTCTTGAGGAAGCTGTTTATTGACAGTATTAAAAATACATAGCTACAAATTCTTAAGAGCCTTGTGTTAAAGGAAAAAAAAAAAAAATAGCCCTCCCAACATCTTAGAGCCAGCTGACTGGGGAAATGGGAAACCTCTAATTTGCCATAAATGTTTATCAAGAACTGCATGAGCTCAATGGTATTCCCTGATATTGCTCCTTTCTTTCATATTTATACATGTGCTGGTGATACCAGAGAATTTTAAAATTTGAGGAGGAAGCTATAAATCCTCTGGATGTATCTGAGGTTTGGACTCTGTTATTTCTGAGGAAATTAGGTTATATGTGTTTGGAGAGGAGAGAGGGAAAGGGGTTGATAAGAAAAAATGTCTCTCCTAAGGCAAAGTCAAGCCCTCACCCATGTAAAATGACCAAGAGTTTCAGAAAGGATTTTTGTGTGTGATTCAGTTCTCATTCTGATGGGAATAAATGATGGCTATTTCAGTTCTCACCCCTTTCCTCACCCCCACCCTGGGCTATAAAATAAATGTCTTGGGAGGCATTTCCTAGAATTGTTTATGCAAGAAAGACCATATTGATGTCTCTCAACCAGTGATATGCCTAAACCCTACTTAAAGGATGGCATTCTTCAAATGATCCTCAGTCTATGACCCCTCCCACTGCCCCCATGACCTTCCTGCGAGAATTGAATGGCCTTTCTATGACCCCTCACCTCGGCATAAGATTTCTTCCCAAGCACTTTCCTTTTACTTTCTGAATTCCAATGAAGAATTTAACTCCCTGATTCAGAAGTATCTAAGGGTTTCCCTCTCCTAAGTCAGAATTCACATTCAACGGGGGAAAAGGTCCAGAAGATGATTCTTCAAGAGATTTATCCCCTGGTTATATATATGAATATATAGTACATTATATATAGAGAGAGAGATAGATAAATAGATAGATACACACAATGCATAATACATATGACATATATGTGTGTGTGTATGTATGTGTATATACATAAAATAAATGAGTAGGAAAGGAAATCATTAGAATTCCATATAAAATTTCTGTGCTCAAGAGATTACGTGAAAGGGACAATGTACAAAAAGAGAGATGATTCTCCTTCAATTGCCTTGAATTTTTGTTTGTTTATTTCTATTTTGATGCTATTGCTCAAACTTAATTCAGATGCTGTTTAAAATGTGCAGCTATAGACCCAAACTCTTTTTCTGAGAATAATCACAGGGCAAGTATTATTTCTCTCAAAGAAAAATATGAATTAATTAACATTCCAATTAAAAGAAAACAAGCATAGTAAGTGGGACTACTGCCTTCTCCCAGAACTGTTACATGCTATAATGATCTCTGATGTCTGTGTGAATTGTTCTAAAGCTAGACTTTAGTTCCTGCATATACAGTGGTCAAGAAACAAACAAAAAAATGTTCGATTTCCTTTTTAAAATATCTTTATAACTTTTAAAACTAAAAGACCACACATTCCTATATTTCATGATGGAAGGGTAGAGAGGAAATTGTTGCTAGGATAAGACTTTGTATTTTATGTCAAATTGTATCTGGAAGCTCATTTTAAAAGTGGAATTATAACCCGCCCACCCCCACCCCCCCCACCAAAAGCAGGGATTTGAGATGAAAATGCCAAAATAACTTTAATTATAGGTTTGCTGGGGGGTGTGACATTAAAATATCACTCAGTGGAAAACTTCACATTGTTAATGTGTCACTCAAAAGATTTGAAATTTGTGTTATACCATTACTATTTATTTGTACATTCTTGGTCTCTTATCTACCTCTTGCTAGATGAGAGCCCAAATCACTGTAACAGTGGTCCAACATTTTCAAATTTCTTTTAAAATCATAGTTAAATATAAATCACTGCAGGCTCTTAATGTAAAACCTTGGTTCCACTTATTACAGATTTTCAAAATTGGGCTGAATCACATAATTTTTTAATATAGAAAAATAACAAAATTCAATTTGACCTACAATCTATTTTTTTTCCACAAAATTCAAAATAATATTGTAGCACTAAGGAAAAAACATATAATAGCCTCTAACATCAAGCTAGTATTTCTTAACCTAGACTTATTGTAGACAATAATTGGTTTTCTCTGCTCCCTTTCCCAAGCTGCATGAGAAAGGAAACCATGGAAACTGGGCCACCATAAAGCAGTGTTTTCTAACCTCAGCCAAGCTCTCACTGATCCTCAGGAATGGTTTTACACATCCCTTGTTGACTAATGATTATAGGAAACCACAATGGCTGTTTTAAACATCCATCCTCAAGGGCCCACCCCTTGACTCCCTTCAACTTAATCTCACTCATGGGGGATGACCTTCAGTCCTACTTCACTGAGGAAGGTCAGGCAGCATGAGTCCCTTGCACTGGTCCTTGACCAAACTAGACCCGGGCCTTGACCTGCCTGGCTGGCCTAGCTGGGCCCAGCCTGTGCAGTTCTCTTAAGTTCTCTCCACCCCTGCCCTCCACCCTCACAAGGCAATGCCAACTTGACAGTTCATCTTTAAGGCCTAGATGTTGCTGCCTGGTCCCAGCTAACCTTGATCTGGAGTCTATTACAACTCTTAACAGCATCTTCTATCTCTGTCTTCTTTGGTAATCTCATCAAATCCAGAGCTTCTACTCTGATCTTTAAGCAATGAATTCCTCAATCCCTATACTTACTTTTCTTTGGCTGTGTTGGGTCTTTGTTGTTGCAAGCAGGCTTTCTCTAGCTGCAGCGAGCGGGGGGAGCTACTCTTCGTTGCAGCATGCGGGCTTCTCATTGCTGTGGCTTCTCTTGTTGTGGGTCATGGGCTCTAGGCTCACGGGCCTCAGTAGTCGTGGCACATGAGCTCAGTAGTCATGTCTCGCAGGCTCTAGAGCACAGGCTCAGTCGTTTTGGCGCACAGGCTTAGTTGCTCCGCGGCATGTGGGATCTTCCCGGACCAGGGCTGGGACCCGTGTCCCCTGCATTGGCAGGAGGATTCTTAACCACTGCGCCACCAGGGGAGTCCCCTATACTCACATTTTTAACTTTCAGAGCCATTGATTAATTCCTCAAACTAAAATTCTCCTTCCCCATCAAATTAGCCTTTCTTTTCAACTTCCTCATTTCAATAGATATGTCATTAACATCACAGAGCCATGGGTGTTTCTTCTCTCTCCATGGCAAATGAATTGTCATGACACATACAATGAAACTATAAGTATTACATACTTTCCATGGCCAAAAATTTTCTATGTAATCTCTGTGACATTGTTCCCCTATATTCTCCCCTGGCTCACCATGATTTAGCCATTCTGGCCTTCTTTCTGCTTCTCAAACCCAAGTTTGTTCTCTCCTTGGAGTTTTATGCATTATCTTGTCTACTCCTGGAAATTTCTACCCCCCTACATCATTCCAGGCTGGCTCTGTCATCAGGCCAAAATGTCACTTCATCAAAGAGATGGTCCCAGAAACGCTGTCATATCACACTGTTTATATTTTTCCCATAACAACTTTCATGACTGATTACTCAGCTAGGATTAAAAAATGATGAGTAGCTAAACTACAGTAGTGACAATAGACGAAGGAAAAGACAGGCTTGAGAAGTGATTAAGAAGCAAAACCAAGAGAATTTGATGACATTTATAGAAGTAGCAAGGGTGAGAGTATAATGGATTATTCCCAAATTTCTGACATGGGGGACCAAGTATATGGTGGAGTTATTAAGCAGAATCAAAAATACACGACAGGCGGCGAGGCTGCTGGCGGAGCAACACAAGGGTGGAGGCTGGACTCGCACTCCAGCCTCTAGCACACAGGATTTACTTTCTACTTGCGCTCGGCTGGGGTACCCATGACGGAGTTATCCGAGCCAGAGAAAACCTGCTCCGGGTGAGCCCGAGCCGCCCCGGAAATGCGATGGCCACAGAGCGGGCACTGAGGACCAGACCGAGATTGGATTTCAAACCAAGGTACTGGATTCTCCTAGAAAACATAGAGAGTGTGTAACAGTGAACATGGCGTAATCTGCATTAACATCCCACAATGTGAAGGCATGACAATTAAGGAACACACATGGACTTGTGGCACATGGAAATGTGTGCACAGAAAAAGGAAATCTTTAGTTCTTTAAAAACAGGAAGGAGTTCTTCCTCACCAAAATGGGTACATTCTGCTCAGTTATCAAGTTTGAAAATCTACAAGAAGTAAAGAGACTTTGTCACTGGGGTCCCATTATAGCCCTTGGTGTTATAGCAATATGTTCTACCATGGCCATGATTGACTCTGTGTTGTGGTATTGGCCCTTACATACCACTGGAGGAAGTGTGAACTTCATCATGTTGATAAATTGGACTGTCATGATTCTTTATAATTACTTCAATGCCATGTTTGTTGGTCCTGGCTTCGTCCCTCTGGGGTGGAAACCGGAAAATTCTCAGGATAGCATGTACCTCCAATATTGTAAAGTCTGCCAAGCATACAAGGCACCACGGTCACATCATTGCAGAAAGTGTAACAGGTGTGTGATGAAGATGGACCATCACTGTCCTTGGATCAACAACTGCTGTGGTTATCAAAATCATGCTTCGTTCACACTGTTTCTCCTTTTAGCACCACTGGGTTGTATTCATGCTGCCTTTATTTTTGTTATGACAATGTATACACAGCTTTATAATCGGGTAAGAAAATGTTATAAAATCAAGCCAGCTTAAATAGTAGTTATTAATATTATTTAAGAAGTTCCTTTTGGAAATATGCTTTCTACAATTTAGGTGGGGAAATAGAACTTTGTTTTATAATCCTCAATAAGGATTCCTTTCAAAAAAGCAGTAAAATGAAAATAATTCTCAGAAACAAAACTTCTATTGAATCATGGATTGAAGAGAAGGCTAAAGATCAAATTCAATATTATCAACTAGATGAAGTCTTTGTTTTTCCTTATGATATGGGAAGTAGATGGAAGAACTTTAAACAGGTTTTTACGTGGTCAGGGGTCCCCAAAGGCGATGGACTGGATTGGCCAATAAGAGAAGGCTGTCACCAGTACAGCTTAACAATAGAACAGTTGAAACAAAAAGCAGATAAAAGAGTCAGAAGTGTTCAGTATAAAGTAATAGAAGATTATAGTGGAACCTGCTGTCCTTTGAATAGAGGAATCAAAACCTTCTTCACGAGCCCCTGCACTGAAGAGCCTCGGATACGCCTACAGAAAGGGGAGTTCATTTTAGCCACAAGAGGCTTACGATACTGGTTGTATGGAGATAAAGTTCTTGATGATTCCATTAAAGAAGATGTTTCAAGAATAAGAGGATGGTTCCCTAGAAACTGTGTAGAAAAGTGTCCCTGCGATGCTGAAACAGATCAAGCCCCAGAGGGCGAGAAGAAAAATAGATAGCCACTTTTGAAGTAAAATTACTCTAAGTCTGCTCCATTACTTGAAAATTGTACATATTACTAAAGAATTATGCAATGAGCCTACTCTGGTTAAGGTGTTCTTTTCCTCAAAGGTGCCCTAATGCCATGATCTAAATATTTTTATTATCATTTTGAAATGGAGAAGCCATTCTGCGCATACCTTTGAATTCCTGCACCTCGATGCTACCGCTCCCTCTCCCCAAAAGGAAAAACACTTCACCCAAGTAAGTCGATTGCATTTTCTCTAGGATTTTTTTATGCACTGCACACGATGGACCTCACCTGCAGATATAGTTCCCCCTTTGCCAGGATCATCTGCATGTGATGCTTTTATCCTCTCTCCCCCTCTGCTGAAATTTCTTAGGTAATATTCTAGATACTATAGAACTTAATTTGCAGATTCGATGTAAGCTCAGATTTTATTACCTGTCTTTTAATAATGAAGATTTTGTCAAATAAAGACCAATGGATGTTCTGTATAAATCATAGTTTTTATTCAAAGTATCTTTCTTTTTGCTGACGAAAAAGGATTGTCTTAGTTCCTTATGGAAAAACTGCTTTCCTGCCTTATGAAAAATCGATAAAAAAAAAAAAAAATACACGACAAAGAACTGATTTTGGAAGAGAGACAGTCGGCTCGGTTTAGGATGTACTTAAGTTGCGGTGTCTGCATGCAGACTGAAAGATTTACATGAGGCAATTGGAAATATGGGTCCAGAGCTCATGGGAAGGCACTTAAAACTATATGAATAGAAGACATGGGGTATGAAGAGTAAGAGCAGAAGAGGGACCCAGAGACCACTGGAGAGCACCAATGTGAAAGGGAAGAGACTCATGAAATAGGACAGCAAGGTAAGAAGGGAATTGCGGAAGCCAAGCAGGAGTTTCAAGAATAAGGGGGAAATCAACAGTGTAAACCATAGGTATGTTGCCTAATATAAGAAGTTTAACATGCCACTGGATTTGGCAAGTATGTCATTAATGAATTTAGCAAGGGCAGTTTCAGAGGCAAGGTGGAAGCAAATGTCAGGCCACATTAGGTTGTAGAGTATAGCAGCCAAAGCAAGGCAAAAAAAGAGACTTCAGGTAAGTCTCAAGCTGTTGAAGGGGAAAAGAGAAAACGCAATAGTTAAAGGGGAATAGAGATGGATTCTTTCTTTTTAATGATTAGAAAGACTTAGTTGTGATGATATATTGAGAAGAAAAAAATGGCAACTTGAGAGAGAAAGAGATTTTCAAGGTCTCCCTGACTGACACTGGCTAGTTATTTCTAGTCTTATCTCTCACTACTCTCCACCTCACCTATAATGCCCCCAAACTGGAGTTTCGACACTGGAGGAAGACACTGGAAGTGGAGGAGGTAGACAAGAGACCTAGGATCCCTGCCTCATCATTATGCTCCCAGCCAGCTCCAAATACCTAAACTGCAACTGATGGATGATTCAGCATTTCTCCAGGCGTGGTGCCATATGTCTACCCGACCCAGACTGCATACTTCTTGTCATTCAGAGGGTGTTTAAGGAATAGTGCATGTACCTTGGAAGAGAAAACACTCCATGTGTCTTAAACTTAAAATGATGAAGTTTCGTCCTTCCCCAAAGCTCTGTGTTCTAAACACACACAGTGTATCTCTGCATCAAAATGCATTGAAGATTCTTAGTACGCTGTAAATAAATTTCAAACTTTCAGCTACAAAATTATTTAATGCCCATTAATATCATTCCTAATTAGAGAAGAAAAAAGAAAGGAAAACTAGTCTTTACAAATAATTCAGTATTCATTTTGCTCTCATGACACCCATGCTTCTCAGAAAAGCATCACAATCTTTTTTATAATCCTCTTTCATCTTGAGACTTCTTGATCTGAGCCTGTTTAATTGGCTTTGAAATAATAGCTATTGACATGACACCTGAAGCATGTCACCTGGCTGTGTGACTTTGAGCAAGTCATTTTACTTCTCAGAATGTAAATATCTTACCCCATCTACTTTCAGCTCAGTTACTTCATGAGATCAAATCTCACATTATGCCCTTATCGCTCACTCTATTACAGGTGAGATATACTGCAAACCTATTGGAAAAATCTTTTAGGATATATAGGCAGATTCCCATTTCAGTTTCTAAGCCATAGCAGAGAGTTGGAACTTAGAGCCTTCAGGGAGCTTACAAGGTCTTTCATAAGGGAAAGATCAAATAATGTTACTGTAAACTGCTATTGTAATTCATTCTTCCATAAAGATTACCTCTGTTGTACTAGCAAGTTCAGCAAGACCTTGGGTTATCAGCCAAATAAATGCCACTTCAAGTAAGTTATTGCTGCCTGGGGCCAGCTTTAACTTGTATCATCAACTTTTTTCCTGTCTAAAATTCTACTGTAAGTTTTACATTCATAAACCCTGTTCCCCCTGGCTTTATTCCTTGCCCTCTTATGACTCTCCCCCTCTTCTTCATTGGTAAAGAGAGCCCCATTGTGTGTAGTGACACCAGAGAGCTTCACCCAGTGATGTAAAAGAGTCACATTCAAATAGTATTTTAGGTAAAACAACCGCAAAAGCCCACTGAACATTTCCTTACTTTGTGAAAATTGCTGCCTGCATCTTTGCACCACAGTTCTGGGAATTCAATTCAAAAGAGATGTATTCAAAAGTATATGACTTTGGCTCCCACGTATGATCATGAGACAACAGAGGAACACTAAACTTTGTGACAATTTTTCAAATTTGTGGTTCTATGAAAAATTTCACCAATTTTCAATCACTTGAACTGAATTCAAAATGGATTCAGAAAATGTGGTACTTGTCTAAATGAAAATAAATGTTGTTTCAACAGTCTTTTTTTCCCCTTTAAATTGATGGTTAAGTGTACAACAAAAGGAGAAGACAACAAACAACATATACATACTCGTCTGAAAAAGCCAAAAGAAAATGCCACCCACATACACAGAATACCACACACAGAGGGTGACCATTGAGTATTGATGACATTTTTTCTACGCTATACAAATTACTCTTGCTAAAGTGCATCCAGCTTGTTTTTTGCCAGTGTTTCCCTCCATTATGTTGTCAGGTGTAGATTAAAGACACATTCTAGGAGCAGTCTTCATAGGACCATTTCTCTCAGTGCTACTTAAACATGGCCTCTCATGTATATCCTCTGCGTCATTGGCCTTTGATAATCAGTAAAGTATCTTTGCCTGAAGAAAAATAAGTATAATAAGCCTCTTCTAGGAAAAATCAATGAGTGTAAGTAGGTAATGGACATTGAGGGTACAAAGCTCAGAAACCTAATACAAATTCTCCTTAAGGACATAACATTCTCCTGTAACATGAGAATGACTGGCATGACCCTAATATATCACCCTTGCATCTTAAGTGATTCTAGAGCAACTTTCACTAAGTTGTTTGAACTGATGCCTTTAAAGCATTATCCCAGTCCCTCATGTTAATAAAGAGAAACCTGATTAATCCCACATGGCAGATTATACTGATTTGAGGAGGGGATTCTTGTACTTACATTGAGTAGGAGTGTGCCCCATGTTTGAGAATTGGTAACCCAGCAGAGAAGTAAAATATGAAGTTCTCCTACAAACTATGAAGTTCTGAGTTCTCCACATTACCTCCTTTGCTTAACTCATTCTCTCCTTCTAATTCCATGCTAAGCATTTATTCATTAATTTAACAAATATTTGTTGGATACCTCACATTTGCCAGATACCGTTCTATGCAATGGAAATACAGTAATGAACAAAACAGACAAATTCCTGCTTATATTCTTCATCTCTCTCTCAGGCTTATGTATCAAGCTAAAGTAGAGCTGTCTTCTTCCTCCCAAATCTTGCTGATCTGCACTTTCACTTAAGAAGGGGGTCAGTTGTCTGAGAAGGAAAACCCTCTCATTTATTAGAGTAATCAAAAGTCATCAACAATCATATACTCATTCACTCAACAATTACGGATAAGCATCCCCTAGATGCCAGGATGTAGGCTTCAAACTGGGAACAGCAAGGTGAAAACCACACAGTCCTTGGCTTGACAGGGATTATATATTTTTGCAATGCCTTTTATGTGAACAAATTAACAATTAATAGTTTTAAATTGAATTTGAATTTTTGAAGTCTGCTGATAGCTGAGAATTACTTGCTTTTCTTTTTTCCCAGGCCCAGTACTTCTCCTGATGCACTTAAGTATAGACTCTAGGGATAAAGATCATATTCAAAACTATGCTACTGCCCAACTTGAAAAGGGTGAGCTAGACTTGGACGTGCATCTGAGTGTTCTCACTCCATTTTCAATAATCACAACTCCTGCTATGTTACAATTAGCTACAGTAACTGAAATTAATATTCCATTACACTTCTTTTGATCATGCTTTAATTTAACCAACAATAATGACCAGGGCATAAAACAGCCCAAGTCCTTTGTTTAGGGTTTGGTGAACAGAACCATATGCCCGACCTCAACCCTTCGGGGGAATGGACATTCAGAAAGTATTTACATGGCTCCTCAATTTTGTTATTTTCCTGTTGCTTTTTTCGGTCTATGTGGCTTTGTTTACTCACTACCTGTGGTGGGTGAGGCTAGAGTCAGGGGTTTTGCTTTACTTCTGGAATTACGGCATTTGAGAATGTTGCCGCATTTGTCATCCATTATGCCTCTTTTCTGTTAAGTATTTATTCTGGTCAAAGTGTGCGCAAAAATTAATAAATTTTTCTTTTCTTTTTTCTGGTTGTATGTATGTAATATGCATGTGAAGCAGCAGATAAATAGACAGCTACTTTAAATTGCTGATATCTAGACATCCCACCTGAAGTGGTAGGTTGACAAACATCTGTAATCCAAATGCCCCGTGGGAGGCATGCAAGTCCCTGGTGGTGGCTCTCTGTCATTTCTCACCAGGTGAACATACTGTGGCTTTGGGCCAGACGCTCCTGAGAGCAAATCCTGGCTTCACCTCTTAACACTGTGTGACTGGTTACTTCTTA